TTCCTTTGTTCGGCAACAATGGGTAGTCGGCGATTACATGGGTGGGATTCAATAGAGCCGATCATTGCAAAGGTGGGTGGGGATGTTAGGAAGAAGGTGAAGTATTTGTGTTTGATGGTGTATTTATGCCCCTATTTAGTGGGATCAAAATTAAATTTTTAGCAGAATTTGATAAAAGTTGATAGAATGTGGTTGAAAAATTGCAGACCCCATAAATATATGTGGATGACACTAATTGTTGATTTTGACTTAAATTAAAATTTAGTTTCTATTTCACAGGCAAAATGGATTAGGATTACAAAAATAATAATTTTCTTTACAGTCTTATCATATATTTATAAGAAAGTGCTCTTAGTTCAGTTTAGTAGAACTTGAGTCTCCAAAAACCGATGTCATAGGTTCAAATCCCATAGTGCGTGATTTTTTCTTTGCAAATTGAATTAGATTGAAATAAATCGTTCATTTGCACAGCAATAAAAATTTAAGTTTAAATCATCAATTGATTTGAACCACTCATTTAATGAGACCCGCTATTTCTTTTTCAATTTTTTAGTCATATAGTTCGTTAACTTTTATCAAAATCTATTAAAAATTTGATTATTAACAAAATCAAAGAAGGTTGAATGTGCATAATGAGAGGAGAGCATATATGATTTAAGAGAGAGAAATGTTATAGAGATGGAGATTGCCGATGAGTCAAGCAACGTCGCTGTTGATGATGCGTGGAGTGGATGAGGTACAACAACACGCCGTTTGGTGGAGATTGGAGTTGTACTACATTGCTCACAGTGGTGGTAACGGTCCACTGCATGCAATGGTGCATCACCAATCCGATAGCGGAAGGGCAGGAGAGAAAAGAGAGATGGGAGAGAGAAGATAATAAAGTTTCAAATTGGGTGAGGAGAGGGGGTGGTTTATAAATATATTTAATTTTACAATATTGTTAATATTGAAGAATAATAATATTAAAAAGAATATAATTATTAAATAACTAATCATAATCTGAAATTTGAAATATGAAACTTAAGAAATGATTTATGAATAAATTTCATAAATAAGAAGATAACTATTGCCCATTTCAAAAGTAAGAATAAAAGTTTCAAATTTCAAAAATCAGATATTCATTAACATTTAATTAATTAAATATATTAAAATCACAGATCTATACAATTTGGTCTTAGATTTATAATTTAATTAGCCACATATTATTTTTCGATCACAAATCAAATTTTTTTAGTGTCACAAATTATTTTATTGTCACAATTAAAAAAATTTGTAGGTCACAATTTGTTCATCGATCACAAATCAAAATTTTATATGTCACAATTTATTTATAGGTCACAAATCACAAATATTATATGTCACAACTTATTTAACAATAAAAAAAATTAAATTTTTTAGTTCAAACATTATTTTTTGGTCACAAATTAAACAATCTAATTGTCACAATCAACCAATTAATCTATGATCATCACCAAACAACCACCGTCTCCAACAGCACCATCGCCACCACCACCATTACCCGACAGCAACATTGTCTCAAACAAAATCAATACATCCACCTCGACAGACCATGCCCACCAACATCTCATCTTCACCATCGCAACCACTGCAATGACCATCATCGCCACCCTCAAAACATAAAGCTGCCACCACCACACTCTTAACAACCAAAACCACCACAACTACTGTACTTCACCTGCTATCAACCATCGCACTATATCGCTAGATGCACCAACATCACTACAATCGCTAGATTCGCCGCCAAAGAATGAACACACCATTACCACCACCCCCAAAACACCGCTTCGCATTGCAACCCACCACCGCACCTCATCGCCGGATGCACCATCAACCACTACAACCACCAGATCCGACACTGTCAGCCACCACCACAACACCGCTACCATACAAACACCATCACCACCACCACACAAAACACCACTTCACCCACGTAGGACGTAAATCTGCTTTGCTACCATCAACACCACTATACAAACACCACTTTGCACTGCAACCCACCGTCGCACCTTACCTCCAGATCCATCATCACAACCACCAAATTCGACACTGCCAGCCACCACCACAACACTGCCACCACACAAATACCATCATTACCATTACACAAAACACCACTTTCTTTCCGTCGATCGTACATCTGGTTCGCAAAATTGCTTCGCGTGCTAGTCGTTGGCGAATCGCTCCTGAAATGGATAGATGATGGGTGATTCACCGACGATTCTCAAGACGACGGGGCTATGTAGAGAGAGAACAGAGGGAGGCGACTAGGCTGTTGTGAGAGAAATGTAGAGAGAGAGAGAGAGAGAGAGAGAGAGAGAGAGAGAGAGAGAGGGATTGTGGGAGAAATTTACAGAAAGAGTGAGAATTAATTAAGGTTTGTGTGTATTGGAGTATATATATTTAGAAAAAAAATTATTTTAAAAAAATATTAAATGAAATAAAAAATCTGATTTTTGAAAAGTGAAAGTTCCCCCTTAATTCTAGAATTCAAGATTTTAATACTAGGATTTTGTGTAATTTCCATTTTATGAAAAAATAGATTTTAAAAAGGAAAAAAAATTCACAAACCAGATTTTAACTATGCACAATTCAAAAATTAGGTGTTAAATTTAATTATCCAAAAATAAGGTTTTTATCTAATTAATTAAAAGTATTTATTAAATAAATATAATAAAATCATAGTTATACAATTAATGACCACAAATTCATAATTATATGCCACAAATTTATTTATTGGTCACATCTCTTCAAATTAATTGGTCACAAATTATTTTGAGGTCAAAAATAAAATTTTTTATAGGTCAGGTCAAAAAATTATAAGTCACAATTTATCTATCGATCACATATTTTCAAATTTGTTGATCACAAATTATCAAATTTTAAGGTCATGATTAAATAGTTGGTTACGAAAAATCAAACAATTGGTCACAAGTCAAATGGTCGGTCACCACCCACTCTACTACCACCACCACCGCTTGCAACCACCTTGACCTCATCACCACCACAACAGCACCATCACCAACACCATGACATCACTACCAACAAAATCGCTGCTACCAAATCCACCACCACCACCAGAAACTACAACTACTGCCACTACCAAATAAACTAAAAATACCCAACCCTAAAATCTCACCACAGTCTCCACCGACATAACCACCACCAGCATAGCCACCAATATCACCACCACCATCGCACACAGAGCCACCATCAAGGCTATCACGATTGCATTACCACCGCCAGAGACTCTACACTGACTAGGGCCACTACCACTGTACCCGCACCCACTCAAAAAACCCAACAAACCCTATTGAACTCACACAGAGCCACTGTCAGGACTACCACCACAACACACACTCCCACCACCATCGCATCCACCATCACTCAAAAAACCCAACAAACCCCGTTGTACACCAGCAGAGATTCACGACACACCACTCCAACGCTCTTCACTAGCTCCACCTTCATGGCACACTCTCAGGCGAATTGTCACTGTTGTTTTCGATTTGTTGTACAGAACAAATTTTCCATAAATCACTTGCTAAACTAGATGAACAATTGCAAAATAGTAAAAATAGAATATTATTTTCGAAAAATGAATTGCACAGAATAAAGCAGAAGCATAAAGAAGTCCAGGATGATCGAGGCGAGAACTAGGCTCTCTGTCCTTAAGACGTTTTTATCCCGTCACACGGTGCTTACGGTATGTGGTAAAGCGTCTCCCAAGATACAACGATCAGACACTTGCAGAAGCAGCACTTCGACTGCAAGACAACGAACCAAAACGGAAGTACTCTCTGTAGACTATTGCAGAGAAGAAGAGTATGTATGCAGAATGATTTTGTAATGTTTCTGTGTGTTGTTTTTAAAATTGAAAGCCCGAGGACCATTCAAATAGAGGAGAAAGTTGACGGTTGAGCAGTTTCCATCCACCACTCATGCCCACTTAACGCACAGTTTTAGCAAACTGATGGGTCGGTTAATAAACTATCGAAGGGAGGAAATTAATTGAATTAAAAAAATTTTAAATTAATATTAACACAGGCTCACACCCACACCCACACCCACACCTACACCCACGACCCGGTCGGCCGGTCGGACGGCGGCAGCGGTGCGCGCGCGCGGCCTTTGGATTAGTCTAGATATTGTCTAAGATTACCCTCTTTCAAAGACTATTGGTACCCCTTGGGGCCCAAACCCATATCCAAATTTGAAATTTATTAAGTGGTTCAAGGTTGTGTTTGCAACCTATGTGGGATTGGAACATTTTTCCAATTCTTTCCCATTTATTCAACTTATTTATTGTCCAACTTTCAACCATAATTTCTCATTCATATTGAAGTGGTTTTTCACAATTAAATATTCTATACTAATCTACTTGGAACGTAGAATTTAATTGATCATTAATTTCGATACATCGAACATTATGTCCCACTTAAAATTGTGGTCAAAGTTGACCCACCATTTCCAACAGTCACTACGCAGTAGCGGCACTCCTCTGTATTGACGCCTATCGTAGAGCTGCAGCGATAGTCCTTCCCAACGACGATTCTCTCGATTGCATCGATGAGGCGACAAATCCCGCACAGTGATTCACTCGGTTCTAGTGGTGAGGTGATGCTGCTTTCGTGCTCGGCTGTGCGACAGATCAAGCACAGTGATTCTCTTGTTGCAGCGACGAGGCGATGCCACTGTCAGTGTCTCCGACGATTGGTACTCCTCAATGGCTGCACCTTCGATGCCGTACCTTAATGCCAACAATGCCATGTCTACAAAAATCGCTTGTTGTCGAAGAAGAGACGCGATATAGAGAGGGAAAATGTTGAGAAAGAAAAGGGAAACAGATCTAGGGTTTGGAGTTTATGAAGTGTTGTGGTTTGATTATAATACCTGCTTTTTTATTAAACATTGTACCTATTTTTTAAAAGTGATCTTTAAATATTTGCTGTTGTGTAATTATGTTTCACTCGTGTTAATTGTGATGATGATTGGCCCAATATCTGAAAAATAATCAAGCCCAAATATGAAATTCTAGAAAGCTCACCTCTTAAGCCTCCGGCGCCCGTAACGTCCTTCAACCGTCATCGAATCAGCAAATACATAGCATTTCGCTGCTCTCTCTACGCAGGTATTCACAAATGGCGCCGAAAAAGAAACAGCAACAACAAAAGAAAAACCCGTCATCTTCATCGTCATCTAAGGGCAATACGACGTCGTCGTCAGGTCCGAAGCTCCAGATATCGGCGGAGAATGAGAGTCGACTCCGAAGGCTCCTCCTTAATTCTGGACGGTCCACACCGGCCTCCTTTCCGCCGCTGGCCGATAACTCTCTTTCTAAAGAGCAGAAAGCCAAGCGGCTTCGGTCCGTTTACGAAAAGCTTTCCTGCGAGGGCTTTAGAGACGATCAGATTGAACTAGCTCTCTCCACTCTCAAGGTGAATACAAATCATTGTAGCTCACTCACAGAAATGGTTTTTAATTTATTTGCTGCAATAAATTGTACGAGCGGAGTACTAACCTTTACGTTTGATAAAACTCCAAAAATCATGGAAGAGAAGTGAACATAAAAGCGCTTAGATAAAATGATCTAGAAGCCCCAGATACTGATGTTGCACCAAAAAACCGAAAATATCTGGGAAATTTTTCATTTAAAAATGAAATAAAAGCTTAAGAATAAGCCTTTGTATTATTATCTTAATGCTTATTTGTGTGGGCACAATTATAATTACATGCAGTTGTTGACAATATATAGGTTGATGCGTTATATAATGCAAATGCTGATTAATAAGCTAGTTTTCGTATTGGAAATTTTCTCTGAACTCGGCTTTCCAAAGCTAATTACTCATCGATTTTGTTTATTTTGAGTAGGAGAGTACAACATTTGAGGCTGCTTTAGATTGGTTATGCTTAAATTTGCCTGGGAATGAGCTTCCGACAAAGTTTTCTAGTGGGACTTCTCTGTATGAAAGTGGAGGTATCAACACATTAATTTTCATTTACCGTGACTGTAGTGGATTCAGGGTGCAATCTCCAAGAGAGGCATTTATTGAAAATTTTGCCTCTGATATAGAACATGAACTCTCTGCTAATGGAATTTCCAAGCAGGTTCTGTTGGAGTTATTTCAACTGCACGGGATGATTGGGTTTCTTCAAGAGATCCTTCAGCAATTCTAGTTGAGGATAAAAAGCCAGAAGTAGCTGCCAAAATTAAGGTCCGAAAGGGTGACGAAACTCTAGAGTCTTTTCAGCGTTCTCAAGCTGATTGGATCCGCCAATATATGGAGCAACAGGAAGAGGTACTTTAACATGACGCTTTAGAGAATCCAAAGATGCATCATCCCAGACGAACCTCCAGATTATATGTTATAGAAATCTTCATCATCTTGTGTTGCTTCACTGGATAAAAATCCATCAACATACAGGAAAGGTCTAACGTCAAAACCTAACTCTGGAGATAGTTTTATGTGTAGCTGAAGGATGAGGGTTCAAGGAAAAAATATGCTAAAGATCGTATTAGCTTGAATTGAATTAGGCAATCTCTCTGTATTTGGACATATTTCCCTATAACTCACTTTATAGTCATCTATGTTTGCATATATTGTTCTTCTGAGAGTTTTTAATGCTATTTTCGACATTGAATATGCATAAAAATAATAACTTGATATATACTTGGAGTTCTAAGAATCTAGGGACTTTCTTTTCTTTTGTCCTTCCAAGAAAAAAGAAACAAGAACGGTCGTCTCTGAAGTTACTTCAACGTCATATTATTTGTCTAACAATTGCTTGTTTAAGTTATGCATTCATTTCTACCTGAGTTTTTGAAGGGCTAGACACTTCCAGATTTGTTTTTCAAGTTGTATAACTCATGCATAACATCATCTACCAAAATGATGCATAAAAGTAACATGTGATGAGCCAGAGGAACTCTCCTTACTTCCTTGTTAAAATTGATTGTTTCAGATTACAACATGGTGGTACCAAATAATGTGTAAAAGTAGTATATCACATCTGACAAGATGTATAATAAGCTGGGGAACTTTTTCATTTTATCCCTTATTGGAAAATATGATCAGTTTTCAATTCAGGTCGAGTCACTTGTTATATCTAACAATCAACAGAAACAATGAAACATAATCGGAATCTATTAAACTTCTGATTGCGCAGAGTATAATTTATATATTTTCCCTTTTGCAGGATGAATATGATTCTTGGGAAGCTAATCCAATTGACAATGATTCATTGAAGAAGGTACTTTTCAGTTATAATATTGCAGGTTATTATAAACACAATAATTATATGTTGGTTTGGATTTTTGCAGATAATCAAGTCAATTTTTTTCCCATCCTTTGTCCTTCTTTATCCAATAAGCTACAAAGCTTGCTTGCAATTGTTCTTTTTAATTTTGACAGTGCCTTCCTTAATGCTAGAATCCAATGTCCTAAAAATTTGGAAACACACTGGTTCACTGTCATGCAACTGTCTAGGCTTCCAAAATTACTTGAATTTTCATCTTCCTACAATTCTTTTATGCATATTCTTTAATCATCTTTTTGGACTCCTTGTTTGTTGTTGAGTTCATCAATTATGTTATTGCAGAACTAAGTTCTTCAAATGTTGATCTTTTTTGTTTTTCATTCTATGTTTACTCTTATGGTAGGTCTTGCAACCCAGGACTAATCCCGAGTCTATTGTTCATGAATACCATTCTGCAAGGCTGGAAGCTTTAAATGCCAAAGAGAGAGGAGACAAGAAAGGGCAGGAACAAGCAGGCCTGATCATTAGGAAACTTAAGCAGGAAATATCTGCATTAGGTACCAAAAATCTTTCTCAAAATTTATTCTCTATTTCCTGCCTTTTACCTTTCCCGAACAGATTCTTGATGTATGAGGTAAATTAATTTGCAGGACTATCAGATGATATCTTGGCATCTGGATATGTAAGTTCTTCCTATTGTGCATCTAAGGACACGTCTTCTGAGTCCACGCCTTCCAAAAACTTTGACAGTGGTACAGTTACTACAATTGATAAAGAAGGTTCAGCTGCTTCTACTGAGTTTGTGGCTGAAGTTACAGTGGAGGATAGCTCTGGCTCACATTTGTGTTCAACCGAAAATGTTTCATCAAGTGTTCCCAAAAATGATGGAGTCTATTTGGAAGGGAAATCAGGAGACGTAGAACTTGGTGGTTTCTTCATTGAAGATGATACGTCAGGAGAAGTTCCTCTTGAAGTATTGGAACTACAAAAGAAAGAAAAATTGAAAGAACTTTCTAGCGAGATGAATTTAAGGAAACTGGAAGGTATCTGGAAGAAGGTAATGTCTGCTACCCTCCAAGATTCTCACGACAGGAATTGTTGGTTGGGAATTTTTTTTTATAAATTTGAGCTTAATTAATTTGTTTTAAATGTGCATGCCACCTGTTCTTAAGATTTGTTATATGTTGTGTGACTTCTGAGGTTAATCCTGTTTTTAGACAGTTTTTTTTTTTTTTTTTTAAATAATGCACTGCTAATATTATCATTTTGGGTAATTAGCACAAAACGCCCTTATCTTTCAATATTATTGTGCAAAATGTTCCTACTTTTTATTTTTGGCATTTTCACCCCTTTTTTCACCTTTTATTGTGGAAAATGTCATTTTCATCCAATTTCTCAATAAAAAAATGTAAATGACAAATATACCTTCATATTTAAATGAAACTAAAAAATAAAAAAATAAAAAAAATTAAAGAACAATTGCAATTATACTCCCAAACTTTTAAAAAAATACAAATGAGTCTAAATTATTAGAAGGGTAATTAGCACAAAACGTCCATATCTTTCAATATTTTTTTTTGGCATTTTCATCCTTATTTTCACATTTCATTGCAGAAATCAGCATTTGGGAGTATAGTTACAAGTTGTTTATTATTTTTTTATTTAAATAGGAGGGTATATTAATCATTTTATAGCTTTTAATTGAGAAAATAGATGAAAATGATGATTTTCACAATGAAAATGCCAAAAAATGAAAAGTAGAGATATTTTGTGCCAGTTACCTTTTTAATAATTTATTTGGACTTATTTACATTTTTTCAAAAAATTGGGAGTATAATTGTAATTTGTTCTTTAATTTTTCTTTTCTTTTTTCTTTTTTTGTTTTATTTCAATAGGAGGGTAATTATTTGTTATCTTACATTTTTATTGAAAAATTGGTTGAAAATGAAATTTTCCGTAATGATAGGTGAAAATACCAAAAAATGAGGTAGGGATGTTTTGCACAATAACATTGAAAGGTAAGGACATTTTTTGCTAATTACCCTTATCATTTTCCTTGCCAAATATGCTTCCCCACTCTCTCCAGGTTGCTGATTTGGTTCTTTTATTTGACTGATTCTACATTTCCTGCAATGGCAACAATTATCTAATCTCTCATGGTATGGGCCGTATGGCCTTTAATTACAGGGGGATCCGCTGAAAATTCCGAAGGCATTTCTTCACCAACTTTGCCAAAGATCAGGGTGGGAAGCACCGAAATACAATAAAGTTCTTGGTAGAGGTCACGGTTCAGGTTACTCTGTTAGTGTATTGCAGAAAGCTAGCGGAAGGGGTAAGAGCAGAAAAGCTGGAGGGCTAACGACTATCCAGCTTCCTGATCAGGACAGAACCTTTAATACTGCTGAGGTACAAACTTGGCAGGTGCCACTGTAACTATTTAAGGTTACATAATTATAAATCAACAACGCGAAAGGAACTGAAAAAAATTTGACCCAGCTTCGGAATTACTGCAAGTTTCCCAGTGGAATTTTGGAGATCTTTCTCCTGATCTAACAAGATAATAAGACTGATAACTATAAATTCTATCAAGCTGATCAAAAAACTGAAATTAGCATAACAAGTAGAGTTGTGCATCAATGACATTGCGAAATGCTAATCACAGATTTATGTTAATCAATTGATTAATGTTAACAAGTAGATCTAAGTGTAGATTTATGTTTATGACTTGATTAATGCTAATCTACTTGTAGTGTAGAAGGTCTATATCCACTGCAGTAGTTTCTCACTATATCTAAGCAGCAGTAACAAATACATTATGAATAATCCCTTTATTTTTTATTTTGGGGTGTGGACCAATATACTGCAGTACCAATACAATTGTCTGCTCTGAAAACTTCGAAGACGGCATAAATAACTATGAAAATCCCACCACTAGTCAAGCTTATGCAGTAACTAGTGATTGACTTGCTTAATCTAAAGTTTGCTAGGACTGCCTCTAAATATAGGCTGGTACTGCACATTATTAAAAGATAATCTTATGTAGACTGGTAATTGAAAGATCAGGAGCTTTAATTTGTTTTCTTTCTCTGAAAGACTATCAAAGTGCATAATATTATACATTTTTGGCAGATTAAAGCTCAATGATTAACTCTGTTCTGTTCTTCATTAATGAAGTTTTTATTTTCCCATATGCACAACAGAGGTGGCACATGGATATATAATAGTAGGAGCCTGTTATATTCATTAGACAATAAGCAGTTTTTGCTTTTCAGATAAAATGACTTAAAAATAAAATTCAGAAAATTTCAAGTGGAAAGTGTAGGTACAGAACCTACCAGAAATTCTCAAAACTTGAATTGATTCAATTTTTCATGAGTGTATTTCTGTTAGGGTTGTGCGTCCACTTTGCTAAAGTAACTTCTCGATGGAGGTGATTTGTTCAACTTCAATCTGTTCAGATTTCAAATTTGAATATCTTATTTAATACGTCTGAATGTTATTGAGTGTTTTTCCTTTTCACCACAGGATGCGCAGAATAATGTTGCAGCTTATGCACTCCATTGCCTATTTCCAGATCTTCCTGTTCACTTTGCACTTTCAGAGCCTTATGCTTCTCTTGTGCTGAAATGGAAGGAAGGTGATTTAAGTTGCTTTTGACAGCTAGTTTTCTTTAAGTAAACAAACATGGAATTTATCTCTTTTGGAAGTTTACTTTGTGTAATCAAGTTACTAGTTGAAAATATTTATCATTATCCAGTCACTATCTTTTAAAAATTAATTTTTTTTTACGTTATCTTGAATTTGTAACTAATTTCTCTATTGGTTAATATTTTTTTCAGCGGAGTTATTTACAAATGTAAAAGACAATCAGGAAGATCGCAGGGCTGGTTTTGTGGATTCATTACTGAGTTCTGACAGAGTTGAATCAAACATTCTGCCTGATGTCATGGATAGTCCTCTTGAAGAGAAGCTCCAAAAACCTTGTGTTGCAGAAGACATTGCTGGTGGCACCAATCAAAATGCTGAAAGTATGTCAATGAATTTTTTCCCTGTGTGGAAGTGTGATCAAAGTCATTTTTGGATCCCCCCCCTCCCCCAAGCGTTTATCTTGAAAGGCAAGAATGTGAATGAACTAGTGTATTTTATGTTCCAAAACATCCTTTTTTTGGCCAAACAGGGCCTTTCTTTTATCAGTTAGGCTGACAATTGTATCCATAAGCAGGCAGGAATGAACAAGAGAATAGTGAAAATTTATTTTTTCCAGTCTTGTATATCTTTTACATATCTTGTTTTACTGTTATGTTTGCTAATTGCAGGAATGAACAAGGATAAACATGCAGAGAGCTTCTATCTGAAAAAGGAACACCAGCATAAGAAAGGAATGAAGAAGTACAAGGTTGGTCTCTTCCCATGTCGAGCAACCTCCTACATATTGGTGATGGACTGAGAATATTTCCATGAATTACTGGTTAGAAGCACTATGCTTAAATGGCTTCATCCTTTAAGTTTTCTGGGTTCACAGCTCTATTCGAAGACTAAAATGATCACAGATCTTAGTTTTATTAATAAGCACAAGTAAATTCCCAGTTATATTTTACCTGCGAGTTCCAAAATACAGGAAATCTATATGGTCACATAATTCACTAGTGTTAATATGAAAACTATGTTTAGGAAACATCATTGTTGTCATGCTATACACTTCAGTTAGTAACTTTGACAGCACCAGTCTGAGTTCCGAGGAAATAACTTCATCTTTACAAGGTCAAATATAGCTAGTCCACTCTGCTACCAGTTTTCTTTTGTAGGATCCAACAAGTTATAATAACTTCATCTGATTGAAAAGGCATTGTTTTTAACTCAGTTATATGTACTTTTTCACAAGTTCAATTTTTTGGTTTGTGTTGATATTCTTATCTGAGCAGGAGATGTTGGAGTCCAGATCCAGACTCCCTATTGCAGAGTTGAAAGGTGATATTCTGCATTTGCTTGAGGAGAATAATGTTTTGGTTATATGTGGGGAGACGGGCTGTGGAAAGACAACTCAGGTGTGAAATTCAATATAGATTGCCTTATTTATGCAGCTAAAGTCGATTGGGTTTGCACATTTTGTTGAATGGAAATAATTCTCGACTCCTTTTAACCGATCTAATGAAATTATATTATTTTCATTTATATCACACTTTTTCTCTTTTAAAGATGTCATCTTCATATGATATCTGTCTGATGAATTATGTAGGTCCCACAATTTTTATTGGATAACATGATTGAAGCAGGACGTGGTGGGTTCTGTAACATAATATGTACTCAACCCAGGAGAATTGCGGTTAGTGATATAATTAAAATGCTAATGTCAATATAGCCCCTGTTTGTTTCCATTATCTAGCCATTAAAATGAAAAATATGAGCGTTATCCATCACATCAAGTCACCATATTTAAATTTCTATTTCTTGTGTGGGGCTCGTAACGGCTATATTTTTCATTCTCATTCTTAAACAAATGGGGCCATAAAATTATACTGGCACTATTCAGTAGCTAAAAATTTGCAAGTTCTGTTTTTGCTGTTTTCAACAATTATTTTCAATTAACACTTCACTACCCCCACTTTTATGTGACTTGGCACATACTATCTTGTGGAATGAGTCATTTGCTTTAAGTTATAAGTCTTCTTATGATCATGAAGATGCTGTATCAAAATCTAGAATCAGCCAAAACTGATACCTGGGATGACAATACTTCACATTGTTTGTACAAGTACAACCTGATGACACGCTACTTGATGGTATTTGTTGGTCTCTTTTAGGCAACATCTGTCGCTGAAAGAGTTGCTGATGAGCGCTGTGAACCGTCTCCGGGGTCAAATGAATCGTTGGTTGGTTATCAAGTTCGTCTCGATAGTGCAAGGTGATCACATTCTTGTAATTTCTTCAGATATTTGCTTCCGGAATAAATTATAATAATCCAGTCTATGCGTCAAACTGTATTTTGTGTCAAATTCTAGGAGAAAATGTTATTTTAGTTGGTAAGTGCCTATACGGTTCATTTCACTTCCTAATATATTTGTTCCTCTTTTTTCAATGTTTTTCTGCCATGAATATACTTATTATTGTTATTTTCTCTCAGCTAGTATACCTGGCAATTAGGTACTAGCACGCGTAAGTGAAGAGGAATGTTTAAGTAAGCCGTGCTTTGTTACTGAGATGTGATGGATTTATTTACTTTTCTAGTGAGTTTTAGTCTTGGACACACTCCTCAATCTCAAGTCATGCATTCGTGAATTTCCATTTTGCGAAATGGTTTGAAGGTTTTTGAGTGCTGAAAAACTTCGAATTTTGGTCACTGATTGTATTTTACGAATTTTTGGATAGCATTGCACTCTGGTTTTTCTATTTTTTTTGTTCACACATGCTTGTCATGGAATAAATCTTTAAATGGGTATACCAAGTACTCGAGCAAATTGCAATAAACGGGTACCAAAGATTTGATATGTGTTGTGGCAGAAGTTCTTTGTCTATACAATGTTTTAGACGTTAAAGAAGATAAAGACATATAATCTTAATGCTTGATAAAATGATGAGATATGGAATGAATATTTTGAAGTTATTAGCTATTAGATGATAGGGAAGTGTGTTTAATTTTAGGACCTGATGGATAAGTTTGGATGAAGAAATTTTGATTGGGTTGATCATTATAATATACTCGGGAAGGGTGTATTCTTGTCACCTCTTAGTGTCTAGGGGATACATCATTGATGTTGCATTATTTCACATGGTCTTTTACCTATTTAGGAATGAGAGAACGAAGCTTCTTTTCTGTACAACTGGCATTCTCCTGAGGATGATATCGGTAGGTGTATTCTACTGATTAAGCTGTTCACTCGTCTGATTATGATTATACACTTGCAGATGTAATTCTAATTTGGAGGAGTAAATTTTATCGTCTCATCTCTTCCTTAACACGGATCTCAATTTGCAGGGGGAGAAAGACTTGGCTGGTGTTAGTCATGTTATTGTTGATGAAGTGCATGAGCGGTCTCTCTTGGTGAGTTTGTATACTCTGATCTTTTGCATCTTCAAGTTTCCACGCCAATTGTTATTAACTGGGATTCACTTCTGTAATCATCATTCCTGCATTTGCAACATGTAGTTCATTAAAAATGACGCATTTTAAATTAACAAAGTCAAACATGAATTTGATGATTCATGCCATTCCTGGCCGACTCCAAAATTCATTCCCTCTAATGTTCATTCTATTTAATGTATGATATATGGATTCACTGCATGTGTATAGGTGTGATAGAACATATGTTAGGGCAAAATTAATGTCTCTGTTGACTACTTTGTAAATGCCGTAAATTATGATTCCTAATAGTAAAACTATGGGAATTTGATCTATTTATCCAAATTCATCTTCTTGGTTTTTGTTATCAAAGCACAAGTGGTCTAAGAGAGACTATAAACACTTCCATGTGTTAAATAGCTGGATAGTAAATTCCAATTAGAAAAAAGAAGTTAGTAAATTCCAATTAGAAAAAAGAAGTTAGCTTGTGACTTCTGGAGATAAGAAACAAGGAAGAGCTTCTTACTGAATTCTGTCTTCTGAAATATTGCAATTATCTCCTTGGAAAAATAAACACGTGCGCCGAAATATCTGTAAATCAATTTGGACTAATTTTAGTAGTTTCTTTTTGTGTAACAGGGGGACTTTCTTCTCATTGTTATGAAGACTCTGATTGAAAAGCAATCTACTCACAGAAAATCTAAATTGAAAGTTATTCTTATGTATGTTTGTAACTCATTTACAAAATATATGTATTATGGTAGTCAGTGTTATGTTATTTTTGATTGATATTTTTTATAATATTAGTCTTCCTGAGTAGTTATTTGCCTTGTGCTGTAGGTCTGCAACCGTTGACTCACACATGTTCTCAAAGTACTTTGGTAATTGCCCAGTAATTACTGCACAAGGGCGAACACATCCTGTGTCAACCCATTATCTTGAGGATATTTATGAAACCTTGGAATACCGTCTTGATTCAGATTCTCCTGCCTGTATAAATCATGGGATATCTGTGTCAGAGAAGGTATTGTATTTGTTGCTTTCTTGATTTGAATTAAACATCCAACCTCCTCCTTCAATAGAAAATGAAAAAGGAAAGATTGAGTTTGTCTGTTCATGACTATACGCTACAGAACCTTCTCAAAGCTGCACAACTGCAATAATATAGGCATAAAGTTAGTTACAACCACAAAATTATTTGCTGGGGCCTGCTGAATTTGTGCTACATTGTGGTTCAACTGATCAAGATCACCGGTTGGCAAAAATGGACACCATAGACGCCTGATTTGCTCAGTTTGAAGTTTGTGACAAAATCAGTGATCTACTTGTGCCCACAAAAAAAAAAAAAAAAAAAAAAAAAAAAAAAAAAAAAAAAAAAAAAAAAAAAAATTGCCTAAAAAATTTAGTTAAG